GACGTGTGCTCTTCCGATCTGCACGTTTGTAATAAAAATTTATAATCGCATTTATTGATATTTTTCTATGCATCTCACGATTCTTGATATACAGAGTGTATATGCTTAATAATTTAGCATTATTCTCATAAAAAGACTTAGTTGAAAAGTTCTGAATCATTTTTTATTCCATAGCGCTAAATAAAGTGATTACTACTGCAGTAATTACTGCTTCATTGAACATTGTATACAAAAATAGTTTTTAAATAGTTTATTAATCATATAACGCCATCCTTTATAAAAAATTGAATCCAGAAGAAGAATTTCTGAATCATTTTTCTCTACAATTCTCAATTAAGACAGTGAAATTCACTGTCAAAACCATGTTTTTCAAGATGGTGTAAACTTTTCTTGGAAACTAATAGTCCGATTAACTTTATTTTTGGCAGGAATATTCTTAAAAAGATTATCTATTGTGTAACGTAGGGTTTTTTCAATATATTAATCCATTTGTTTATAATAAATTTTTTAATTTCGTATTTTAAGGCCAAAACAACTTTTTTTTTTTTAATTGATAACCTTTCCACAATTTTCAAAAAAAACCCCTACGCTACACAACATAGCCATAACATTTGTTTATAATAAAATATTTGGTTTTTTTATTTCAAACCACCCCCCACCCTTCGGAAATGTTACACCCGTCCGACTCCGACGCGGCGAAAGAGCTTTGCGGGAATCGTTCTGCAGCATAATTTTTAGCCCAATTGTTTCAAAAATTTACAAATTTATAGTTTTTATGTTGTATATTAAAGCCTTATAACATAAAAAAATTCTACGCAGTGGTTAATTTAAAAAAAAATCTTGAATTTATGCTTATTTTAGACCCAGTCAGGGTGGTTAGACCCCTTAAGAAGTTGAATTGAAATTTAAATGCTACTATTCTTCATGGCATAACTATTTGTAATGCAACAAATGTTGTGATCTTAAATATTATTTATTCCAAAAAATTTAAAAATTTATCAATATTTTATTTGAATTTTAATAAAACAGAATCTATTTGTGAACATTATCTAAAAAATAAAAATGATATTTATGTTTACACATTTACAATTTGAAACATTTTTGCATTATTTATATATAACATAATAATAGACGCACCAAAAAATTAAACATTTATTTCAATATTTTACACTTATAACAGCCTTATGTCATCTTTATTTATCGCCTAAATTTCTGCAAATATTACTGTAAGAACAGTTAGTAAAAAAACAGTTAGTAAAAAAATCAGGTCGCGTTTATAATTTAAAATTTACGGATTACTTTAAAACATAAATTTAAAATTTTTGTTAACCGCTAAATTTTTTAATATTTATATTATGGCAATCCCTTGTATTTGTATAAATAAAATATACAGGAACATGCAGTGCGTGATTGTTTTTATCTTCTACTGATGAAAGACATTAAATACTGTGATGTTACGCACTTATCAAAATACGACGCACGATTTATATAAAATCATAATCACATTTATTGGCACATATTTTTGAAACTACTGCGCATCTCACGATACTCGATATACTTTATTATAACTAACAAATTAAAAGTTTCACGTTTTCTATTTTAAGTTTTTAATCTACTTTATTGTTGATATAAATTTTTCTATAAATTAGTCGGACAACGAAATCGAATGTGCCAGTAGATGATTATATATCAAGCACATTATACGCAAGAAGTCAAAAATGAAAGCTGTAATTTTAATATTTGCTCTAATTGCAATTGTTGTTTGCAATTATTATCCCGGCTATTAATGGAGAACCTGCAGCCCAATAAACTTCCGATGGTTCTTTTGTTGTATATATGTCCCGGCTCTTATTAGAAAAGATGTAGACACAGATAATATCGAAGGTTCTCTTACTGCACTTATTCCAGTTGTTATTGGAAAACAAGTCGGCTCAGGAACTTTACCAAAGTCTCTGGTATAATAAAATTATTTTTTTAATATTCTAAACAATAATTAAAATGAAACGATATAATATCTTGTAAGTATATACACAATGTTGCATATAAATTGACTTGATTATTCATTTTGAAATTAATCATTAATCTTATTACACACGAAGTTCTTTATTATTGCCAAAAGGACAAACTTATAATTAAAATTAGATTTCCAATTTTAAAACCTTTGTGTTTCTTCTCTATACACATAAATATAATACTTAAACTGCTTTTTTTTAACTTCATCTTTGAATTATTTTTACTTTTTCAAATTTTTAAATCTTTGATTGTTTGAAAAATTGTGTATACATACATACATACATACAAGGTCCGGCTTAATAATATGTATAAGCATGCACGAAGTGATTCCTTATGGAAAAATTTTTATGTTTTTTATTGAACCCAATATATAGTTTTTAAATACCTTGTAAACATTGTTTATAAATACGATACGTTTTATATGTCGCTCGACGAACCGAATCTTGTTAGTTGTAACAGCATGCGTATGCAGCAGATCTTCAAACTCGATTTTTCTCGAAAACTAAGCCGAAAATTAAAAAATTTTATTCTACATTTTTTTCCTTATTTTTTCATAAGGATCTTTCTCCGTCTTGCCACCCCGGCCTACCCGGATACAATCTTATCAACAAAAAAGGTGGAAGAAAAGAAGTACTAGATTGGGCAATAGATTTGGAAAATATAAGCATGGTATAAGTATGGTATAAGTAGCATGGTATAAATATATAAAGATATTCTCATGCGTATAATCAATCGCAGCTCTTCATTACGTCACAACGAGCGGCTAAATAAATATATTACAATATATATCGCAATTGGCAGTTTAATTTTTAATTTTATTAGGTTAATAACTCCAAGTCTTCGAAATAAAATTATTAAAATTAAATGTATATATTTTTGCGATTTCAACATACAATTTAAAAAGAATATTTGCTTGTTAATAAATAAATAACAAAATATCGATCCGAAAACTCATTTTGTTATGATAACGAGACAAAACATAACTCTTCATTTGTTGACGTATCAAAAATAGTAATTTACCACCATGTTTTTTTGTAAATCAAACAGTTACGCATTTCGTATTTTGGATCATTCGCAGATTTCAGCTTGGATGCGATTTCTTTACAGGGTCTTGACTCTGCGAAATCGTAAGGTTCCATTTAAACGGATTATCCTTCATTACTCAAAAGAATCTCAAAAGACCTGCTTAACGCGTCTACATGGGCCATCCGAGAATCTGGGCGATGCACCACTTTAAAATCAAAGTTTGGGAGTTCGAGACTCCACCGAGTTATATGCCGCAAAAATTATTGAAACTATTACTGTAAGAATAGTTAGTAAAAAATCAGGTCGCGTTTATAATTTAAAATTTACGGATTACTTTAAAACATAAATTTTATATTTTTTGTTAATTGCTGAATTTTTTAATATTTATATTATGACAATTTCTTACATCTGTGTAAATACAATATACGCAAAACATGCAATGCGTGATTTTTTTTATCTGCTGCCGATGAAAGAAATATTAAATATTGCGATGTTACATACTTATCAAAATATGACGCACGCGGTTGATAAAAAATTATTATCACATTTATTTGCATATATTTTTGAAACTACTGCGTGTCTCATGATGCTTCATATATTTTATTATAACTATAACAAAATAGAAAGTTTTACATTTTCTATTTTAAGCTATCGATATACTTTATCATCAATATTTACCAACAAGTTTTCCTATAAATTAGTCAGACGAAATCGAATGTGTCAGTAGATGATTATATAGCAAGTACATTATACGCAAGAAATCGAAAATGAAAGCTGTAATTTTAATATTTGTTATAATTGCGATTGTTGTTGCAGTTATTCCGGCTATTAATGGAGAACCTGATCCTGATCAATCATTTCCTTTGGTATAATAAAATTATTTTTTTAATATTTTAAACAATAATTAAAATAAAATGATATAATATCTTGTTTATATGGAATGTTGCATATAAATTGATTTGATTTGCTCATGTTGAAATTAATTATTAATCTTGTTACATATGATGTTCTTTATTATTGTCGAAAGGACAAATTTACGATTTTAAAAAACTTGTGTTTCTTATATCTACACACATATAAATACAATTGAACTGCTTTTTCTAACTTCATCTTTGAATCATTTTTTATTCTTCTAAATTTTTAAATCTTTTATTATATTTAGAAAATTGTGCATACATACATATACAGGGTCCTGCCTAATAATATGTACAGGCGGTTACGACGAGATTCCTTATGAAAAAATAAGAAAAAGATATAGAATAAAATTTTTCTATTATAGGTTTAGCTTTCAAGAAAATTGAGTTTAAAAATTCATTTGATTTTCTCGAAAGCTAACCTGAAAATTAAAAAATTTTATTCTACATTTTTTCTTATTTTTTCATAAGGAATCACGCCATAGCGCCATCTTGTACAATCGTGGACACATCGGTTGCGACACATTCTTTTTTATAGATTTCAAAACGTACTAATATTTTTGCAAAATGCGGACCACGATTGGTGTTATACTGTCTCTAGACTAAAGATAGTAACATCGTGGTTCGCAATTTGCAACATATTAGTTATCTATAAAGTATATATTATTTATATTAACTATATACATAATAGAAACCTATAAAAAGTGGCGCAACCGATGTGTCCACGACTGTACATCAGCTGGACCCTGGATACACATGACACAACAAAATGTAAAGAAAAGAAATCCAACGGATTTGTTACAGATATATTACATTTAATATAATATTATATAACAGATATATATATATATATATATATATATATATATATGTATGTATGTATGTATGTATGTATGTATGTATGTATGTATGTATGTATGTATGTATAGTATATATAATCTGACAGTTATTCTGAGAGATATATGTGTAATATAACACAATATTTTTAAACTGGTAAACAATTTTCATATTACACTAAAGTTTAAAGGTTACTGTTACTTACGATACATTGAAACACGTTTATTAAGAAATGTATACTTGTGTATTTCAGAGTAAACTAAAAGAATGGATCAAGAGTTCAGTGCAAAAATTAGAAGAAGAAGGTATATAACGAACATGGAAAATCATAATCGAAATCTTGAGAAAAATATACCTCGCTGATGTCTGCTAACGTCTGATATAACTGTCGGCATATATTCTTATGAATAACCTATAGAATATATTGTAGAATAACCTATTTGTGAATTTTAAATAAATGCAATAACAAATTAAATTTGTTTTAATTGTCAAGTTATTATTTTATAACATCCCTAAAAATAATATCGTAATACAATATAGTCAGTTTTGTATTGAAACTTGAAAACTATAATATAAATAATAATTTTCCATTTAGCTTGCTAAAAGGAAGTTATTTTTTAGTTTGACAAAAAATAATTAATGATAGTTTACTGAATAAAATAGATTTCTGAATAAAATATCAATAAAAAAATTGTATAAATTTGAACATAAGATACATACATAGGATATAGAAACAAATGGATGTATTATATACATATATGTTCTTAAATACTAGTATTTATATGAAAATAAAAAATTAGCTTATTTTTCTGTATTATAATTAACCATGAGATACATGTTTAGCACAACTGCTTGCCTGTATGTCATGTTTGCTTATTTATTTATGATATTTTAACCCGCTTTGAGTAATTTATTCATTTGGATGTCCATTGTTCTAGCGCCGTCTCTGACATTCTGTCAACTTCTTAAACTTTATTTTGATGCAACAATTAAGCATATTTTCTGAAAATATATAATGTATAATATAGAAAGAAATAAATCAGAAATTGTTTTCTTCTTCTAGTAGAGAAAAGAAAATTTTTTTCTTTTTCTATAACTGCAATCGTTACCAATCGACACTTACACAACAAATATAATGTCATCAATGATAGTGACATAAAAAATTAATTAAGATTAATATTCCTGACGCCAGAAGTTATGCAATAATTAATAGCAAGTAATAATAACTAAAGATTCCTAAATGTTATGTAGTAATAATAAAATATTTAATTAATATATTTTTAGAATATTATACTGATATATTTTAATAAATTTTTCTAATATAAACGGCTTCTAAAACAATTATTGTAATTGAATTAATATTTGCGTATAATATGTCTTTAATTTTTAAGTTCCCCAACTTGTCATTACAAAATTATTTTTATCTTTCAAGTAATTTTTAGGGGAAAAAACGTACGATATTAAATTAATTATATTTTTTCGCATTTGCAGAAAACTCTGCATGAAATATATAACAAGAATATATATAAACAAAAGTTTTTTTATTAAAAATAACATTTTATAATATGAAGAAGAAATTCAATTCAAATTTGTAATGATAATCTGATATATAATAATAAGAATACATAAGAAATAAGGAATTTGTTTTAAATGCAGATTATACTTGCATAACATTGATATTTATATATACACGATATATATTAATACGTAACAATAAAATGTAATTATATTTCACATAATCCTCAGAGATTTTGTATAATTTTCTATAATAGCGAACAATATTATTTTATTACATATACGTTACATATATATTATTATATTATTATATTACAATGTTTATTAGCTGAAGAACTTGTAAAATTTATAAATTTGTGATAATTGATGTTCAATTTAATGTATATTCTCTAAAATATTATTTTCCTTTCATTGATTCGTATAATATAAAGCTTATTGTAATGATATTTTTATTTTATCAATTTTTAGTTTATTATTAAGTTAAAAAATTTTGTTAATACTTTTTAAAATCGAAAATAATGAAGCTATTTTTAAACTTTTATATTTATGTGTTGTAGTTCTTCGTATTCATGTAAATACAATATACAGACAATGCGCAAAACATGCAGTGCGTGATTTTTTTAAATATCTGCTGTACGATGAAAGATATTGATATTACATACTTATCAAAATACTATGCACGTTTGTAGTAAAAAAATTGTAGTAAAAAATATTTATTGGCACATATTTGTCCATGCATCTCACGATTCTTAATATACAGAGTGTATTTTAAATATCATTTATTAATTATAAAGTATTATTTTTTATAAAAAAACTGAGTCGAACAATCCTGAATCATTTTTTTCTACAGTGCTAAATAATGTGATCACTACTGCAGTAAATATTGCTTCTTCTTGAAACGTATATAAGAGGAAAATCTTTTAGCATTAAGAGGTACCGCTAAAGGATAGAATATATTTTTTTGGGTCTATTAATTACAGATTATACTTGCTCAATATTGATATTATTTATTTATACACAGTACAATTTCATCCATAACAATAAAATATAATTATATTTTACAGAATCCTTAAACGTTTTTGAAAATTGTGTCATGTCATTTTTTTAATAGCAAATAACATTATTATAAAATGTTCATTAGCTGAAAAACTTGTCAAATATAGTGTGATATAAATACTGTTATTATTTAATTATGGTGCACTTAGCCTTCAAATATTTTCATGAATCCTGGGATGCATTACTTATTACGTCAAAAATGCCTGTCTTCTGAAATACAAGAAAATAAACAAAGTTTAATTTCTAGATTTATATAATTTTATATTTTGCAACATGAAGGAAGATATTTTATGATACAATGATATTGTGCATTTTTTATGAGAACTTATATTTTTTTAAAGATATTAATAAAAATATGGTTTTTAATATTTTATTAATTTTTTACTAATTACACTAAAAAAACAATTAATTATCAATAATATAATTGTTAAGAGCGTACACACGTGTATAAATATAAAAAATAGATATATTATCATACAGGAGATAGATTTAAATATGAAACGAAATATATAAAATATAAAACAATAAAAAATACTTAGTTAACAGTTTTATTAAAAACAGCATTTTTGTACCTTAGCCTGCCTCAGGATGCCTCAGGACCATTGTTAGTCACTGTTATCCAAGTATGCTAGCCGTTGGTTCAGCCGATCTTTTAGATAATATTCGAGCCCCTGGTTCAGCCGATCTTTTAGATAATATTCGAGCCCCTGGTTCAGCCCATCTTTTAGATAGTAGTCGAGCCGATGGTTCAGCCATTGATTCAGCCATGATTCCAGGACTCATAGTAATTGCAACAACAGCAATTAACAGGAATAAGAATACTATCTTCATCATTGCAACTTATCAATGATTTGAACTTTGAATGCTAGTGTTATTCATGATACCTCCAATTTATAGTACAAAAAATCGTGAATAGGACACTATAAACGTTATCTAGAAAGTTGTAAAATTTATCTAAATTTTATGAAACTTTCTAAAATGTAAGCTTTATTTGAGTATTAAAAGCGGTATTTATTATTGTATATAAAATTGTTTACCAGAAGAAAGAAAGTAAACATGATATTTACATCGTGTATTTACGATCTAAAAATTCTATTTATAAATATTTATAGATTCACAAGAAAGAGTTAAATAATTATTTAAATATTTATTTTGTTATGTGTAATCGTCGTGTCATTTTTTTCGGCCGCCATAAAATCGAAAAGAATCATTAAAAATAATTAGTAAGAAAATCAGATTATCTGTGACTTTCTATATTGTTTTAAAATTCAAAGTTTTAATTTTTATAAATCGCCAAATTTTTGACTTTGGCTATAAATCGTAATGCATTTTAAAATTAAACTGTTTAACTAGTGTTTATCTACTATTTTTTATTTAAACGTTGCCTTAATAGTTGCAAAAAAGTTTGCTCTTTAATTACAACAGTTATTATATAATATAATAATAAATATTACACTTATGCAGTCATATTGCATTGCCTGATTGATTAAAAAAGAATATACTTGAATATACCAGTGAATGTCTGGTATAGTAGATGATGCGAAGGAAAAAAAGAAGATCGAACACTAAAGTGCGAGTTTAGAGTCTGCGAAGGATTAAAACAAGGATAAATGAATAGCGGCCGGACTGGATCGCTGAAAATAAAACACCTTGAAGTAAAGGGTAGCCAGCCGAGCTTGTGAGAAAATGGTGGGAGAACCGACAGCGAGGAGGTTGCAAGAGGTGTCTCTTACGCAAAGGAAAGATGAACCTTTTCGCGAACGAGCGAGTGAGATGAGACGGGATCTTGTTAGCCCTGAACTTGGTCACGAGGATGGCCGGCGTTTCCCTGTAGCTGAAATCAAGAGTGGACCTATTGCTCCATCAAGCTGCCGGGGACCTCAATTTTTATCTCTTTCTTTAATCGAAAAACAGAATCAGATTTTCAATCACAGACAGAATCAAATTTAAATAAAGTCCCAATTATTATTTGTGCATCTGAGATACAACAAAGATGCACATTTCAGCTAAAAACTATATAATCTTTTAATTAAAAATAAAATAAAATGATAAATATGTATAATTACAAGCTAAAATAATTGTGAGGCTTCGCTATCGGTGCGCTCAAGAGTAACGCAATTACCCATCATGAAATGATTTCGCAAATTAAATCTCTAACTTAATTTGCTTAACACAAATTTACTTCCCAGTTAATTTCAGCTGTGTTAATAATAAACTGATTCTGGGACACCGTATGTACCGGAAAATGTAGGACGATGTAGGATATATTTCCGTTGATAATTGTAACCCGCTTTTACCGCGTCTCTTGCACGTGCATATTTTCCGGCATATGCGTACGCTTCCCAGAGCCCCTGCGAGCTATCTTTAGCACAATAGGCATATAGCTGCGGCACGCAGAAAAAAAATCTCGGAAACGGTGCCGTCAATCTGTCTCGCGAGACCAATCATCGCGGCGGTCGCTTTAAGCAGATGCGATACACGGGGTCTCCGTCTCTTCCTCGACCGGTAGACGCGCGTGGAGAAAACGGCTTTCGATTTGAGAGACGCGTCAGCTGATTGCGTTAAATGCCCGCTCCTAGGAATGTTTAGAAAACGAGTCGTAAATAGCTAATGGGTTAATAAAGCCCCGCGCAGGGTATGAAGTCCGCGAGACGCAATTGGGTTTACGAGACGTTACCGGGAAGGTTCACGGACACGTCCAGCGTGCGAGAGCTGTCGTGAAAGCGCGCGCACGGCACGCAAATGCGTAGGCAGAGGCGCGTTAAAATCGACAACGTCATTATAGCTACTCTCCACGGAAAAGTACCCGTAATCGCGATTTGCCGCGTGACTTCTTGAACTTCTTAAATTACGCACTTTGAATTTAAGGATCATTCGCGTCTATCAAATTGCGTTCGTATAACATTAAACTGCTCCTAACGGAGCCTATTCAATGGCTTCCCGAAAAATTTCTTCAACGTCTACGGACGTGTGTAAATACGACTTGTGCAATCGTATTTTGATAGCACATAATGGCATGTGCTATCGTGCAAACCGAGTGAATATTACTGGCGATAGTACTGGTGAGTCATAAACTTCGAGTCTTGTAGCCTGACAGAGTATATGCATGCTTACGGTTTTGCATTCAAAGGATCAACAAATACACATCTCGATTAATCTTATTCTGCATGTATGCGCATCGTTATATATCTTTTATTGCTCTCAAATTACTCGTCTGTTCGATTGTACTCGTATCGTCATCTATAGTCGCAAAAACTTTAATACGAGATATCTTTTCTTGTGTCCTGTCTCTTAATTAATATCCGCTCGATTCGGATTGGCACAGAGAGAGAGAGAGAGAGAGAGAGAGAGAGAGAGAAAAACGCGAAAAGGACGGAAACGTGGAACGTGTATTTGAGCGGAAGTTCGAACAGTCGCACGCTTGTCACGAAAGGAGGTGATGACAGACCCGTGATTCTATCTAACCCGATTGGCCAATTAAAAGGTACGTCGAATGGCAAGCGACGGACGATTAATCTCGGTACAGAACCAAATTCTGTTGGCAAAAATCACAGCGATCAGAGAGGCAGCAAGTCGAGAATTCGCTGGCAATCGGTTCACGTAATGAATCAACCCGCTCGTAAATTTCGTAACGAGTCCACGTCGTGCGCGCGCGCGCGTGCGTGCGTTACCGTGGAATTATGTCGTTGAAGTATTACGGAATGTCGATTGCGCAAGAACAATTAAGCCGGTTGAAGCGCGCGGTCAACACGGGAAAGTATGAGATAATGATGCGTCCGGCGCATACTTTTGTTTGTTTATCGCAAATTGTCCTGAAATGCAAGAATTGTGTCGCACCACGATTACGCACTCTTATATTAGTTACTAGTTCGATGAAAATGGCGATTTTGCATTGTTGTGAAAATTATTGTATTGCGCTTCGAATTGCGCTGAAGAATGCAACGTGTCGATCATCGGAGCACGACGTACCTACGTGCAAATCCGCGCGATCTCAGAAGGATCTCGTTACATCACGAAAGTTGAACTTTCTAACGAATTTGACGACAAATTAAGAAAATCGATGATACATTGGTATTGTTCGAAAGCCACGAATATTGTGTCGCCTCGCGAATATCAGAGAGAGGTTTCTCTTAATTCGCGATTATTATCGTCGTAATCTTCATACGTTAGCGAAAGACCGCAATTTTACGTTGCCGGCGCCGCGCATCAATGTGCTTTTTACACAACGATATTGCCCGATTGTTCATGTATGCCAGTAACGATGAGTATTATTTGAAGGCAACTTCCTGCGAGTCCCACTTTGCGTGAAAGGAAGAATCATTACTTGCGGTTCTTTCGAGCTACGACCGACGTGACTCTAAACCCTATATTGACCCAGACTGCGTGAGCTGAATGCCTTTACTCCGTCGCGTATCCAGGATCATTCACAGGCGAAGACGTGTTAACCACGTGTTTGCGTATGTCGCTGGGTCAACGGCTTATTACGTGAGCTTGCATGGCATAAGCGAGAAAACTGTCTCTGAAGAATCGCAAATCATGGAACAATTTAGAAACATCCTGAAGAGAAGGAGCAAAGAGTTGGAAAAAGAGAAAAAGTATCAATAAAGTCGCTAAAAGTTATCTATTTTTAATACTTTGTAAATAATCTGCTGTAAATCCGTAAAATATTAATTGCAAATTTTTGAAAGACACATCGATCTCTTAGAAATTTCGCGGAGCAAAACCTCGAAAGGGATCACGAATGACCTAATATCCTTTTTTACCTATCCTCTGTTTATTATCACGCATTTTGATTGCTCGTAATGACTTGTCGCAGTAAGATTAATGCTTTCACGAAGATATCGTATATACACTGTTCATTCACGCTCGTGATGTAAGAGGTGTGTGACCGTTGTATCAACATACATTCACTTATAAAAGCCGCTGAGAAATTACCTTCTTTTGAGAGATGACCTAAAGAGACCGAAGAGATTCATAAAAAGTAAGATATTATAGCCAAACTGAGAGAAACTCACATAAGTGTCATTATCGTGACATGAGAGTAAACGAACTTTTTCACGCAGATGTCGCAAAATAGTGAAATCCTAAAATTCTCCGAAGTCTTTCTGAATTGTGAGAAGGCTGGGAATGTCCCGATAAAGTTTCAGGCGAGCTATTTAGGTTACACTGCGAGAGCGGCGATTTTAGCGTCATTGCAACCTTGTTCCCAGCTAATTATGCAGTTGTAGGGTTCGCCGGTTCGACGGTCAGATAATTGCGATATCGTAGACTCGCGCAACGATAGGGGGTTACCGCCGATCGATGTTACCGAAGATACACCGTTACCTGCCTGTCATTTTCGGGCGTCCATTGACGAGCGCGGTGGGCAAATGGAAATTGGAACCGTGTCGGCGGAAGTGGGGCTTTCAATAGTGGCGAGTGTATAACGAGTATAACGCGTTGGAACCCTCCGCGGACGCGCGCCGCAAACAGGAAACTCCTCGTTCGTCAATTCGGCACACGATGTAATTATCATGAGGCCAATTAATTGTGCGATCTATGAATACGAATACTTTACCACGTCGAAACCGGCGGGATTGCGCTCGCTGATCAACAGGCGATCATTGGAGCCCGCGCTATGTGATCGTGAAGTAACTCCAACGTAGTAGTATTTAAATGGGGAATTGCCTGGAACTTCGCTCGTCGAACCGTGAAATGTTTCGCACGATTCGTGCGAGCGCCGTTTGTACATCCTTCGCATTGTTTCGAATTGATTAGAAAAGAGCGTTAAATGATTGACGGTATTGAGGTCAAAAAAACCATTTAAATGAACAGGAGTGGCTATTTCAGACTATTTCAACACTTTATTACCTCATGTAAGAATTTAAGTTTAACTTGAGATTAATTTAATAATTTATATTAGGAATTTTAATAGGAATATAAAGTGACGCAAATCGACACAATCGTTAAAATCGTTTCTTTAAATAACATTTATTTAAAAAACAAATCGTACGAATGAATAAAAAGATTATATTGTATAAACTAAATTAATTTATATTAATTAAAATTAAGGCTTTCTATCTTTGTTGGAAAGATTGAAAATTGCTGCTGGTAATACAATCATATAATTAAAAGTTACATGACATTCTTAAGTTTTATAGAAAATTTTATGAACACTTGTGTATGTATTTTTATTAAAATAGGCACAGACTTTTTATATAATCACGTAATGATATAAGATTATTCAAGATGCGTTTCTCTTCTGGATAAAGTCAAAGAAAGAAAAATGGGACACTATAATGAGACACTTATCTCATTAATTTTCCACAATCATAGTCTTTTCACAGAAAGAGATCCTATTAATCAGTCTTTAATTCGTATTTCAAATATTATTACTTTCACAATTCCTCGCAAATTGGCTTCTTTACAAAATGACATCCTTTATTACTTCACATGACGTCACTTGCACATAATTCGCACGCTTGATTAGTCTTATTCGATACGGTTCCACTCTTGATACATATTAATGACTGCTGTTTGTTTCAAGTGGCACATCCAGGTGATTTTTTTCGGGAGCGACGTATATGTATAATAGCTATTTTATTCGCGTATATAAATCAAAGTCTGCACCACGCGGTCGACTCGTAAATTTTTCCGAAATAAACTACCTTAAAGCTATAGATACGCGAACAGTCAAGTCGCGTAATTTTCACTGAACACTTTCGACGATTTTCGTTCACGATAGTCGATGCTCGATACACGCTCGGTATCGCTCTTCCACACGACGACCCGTTAGGAATTTCTCACGCTTACCGGTTAATAATTAGCGCGAAATTGCGATTTCATGCGAACGCGTCGATCGGGTCGATTTCCTCTCTTCTATTCCCTCCGTACAGCACGGATCGATGATTTCTCAATGCTTATGCCATCGGGTGCCGGGGGCAAGCCATCGAGAACGCTCGACGTGCGAGCGATCTCATGGCGTGCCTGTTGCCTAATTCATAAAGCTGTAACGATGATCGATAAACAAATGGTCTTCTTCATCTCGTAGAAGTCGCTCGTTTATGCGAAATAAACGCAACGCTTTACGATGTGCGATAAACAGTTTTTCCGACTCGCGGCTGTCATTCAAGTGTGAGATCGGGAATTCGAGGTCGATTTAGCAGCAAGTGGATTGAACACAGAGATCGTACAATGTCCTCCGGGAAACGCTTAAAACTTGAACTTTGGCCGGTGTCACGGAAGAAGGCTGCTTCTCACTGGCCTCTTGTTGTAATCGTCGTCGATGTCGTGGAGGTCGGGCGGGTCCGCGAAACCGCTGTCCTCGTAACGGGTGCAACGTGAACCAGGCGATCTCGGCGGATGGACCGGATGAATGCTGTAACGGGAAGATACATATGATACAAGAATAATGCAGATTTTTTTAATTCAGGATGTAGAAGAACACAAAAAAATGACATAATATATGGCTCATATAAACGCAAATTTCTATCAATAATTCTATTTTTATCCTGAAAATCACGCATCAAGTATAACATTTGTAGAATTTTGTCGTAGATTTATAATAATCGATCATTTACAATAATCGATCGATAATTCTAAAAATGCTTCTTGGAAATGTGAGACAAAGTCATGTGATAATACTTAATTTGTGACACATCGGTAGATTTAAGAAGAAATTTAAATCGTGGGAAAATATGCGGCGTTTGCTCCTATCTATTACCTGGTGCATCTCGAAGGGCTCGTTTCCAAAGGCTCGTCGTATCTGCGGGAGAGCATCGTAAAGTCTCGATGAGCCGCGACCATTTTCTGCAGCCGCGAAATGATCTCGTAATCGGGCGTGCAGATTGGCTCCGACAGTAACTTCGCCACGGAGACGCGGAAGCTCTGAAGCTGAGACAGGAAATAAGCGATTTGCGAATTGAATCATGCGCTCGTAGCTCATACTCGGACAGTCTCGCGAGGCGCGACTCGCTCGAATATTTACTTTTCTTTTGCGAATTCAGACAATTGTTTCCAAGTATTAAGGCGAAACGTAGGCATTTTGATCTTTATGGAATACTTTTTGTTATATTAAAATATCTAAAGTGTGAAATATTATTTTACGCTATGCATAGAATTCAATCATTTTTGCGGATTTAATAATATTAACACGTATCTTGCATTAAAGTTTGCGATTTCATATTAGAGTACCGATCAAACTTTTTCCATTTGAATAATGGTATTTCTCTCCTCTCGTTTCTCTTTCTCTATTTATATTTTTTCTAAAATTTTAAATGTCATTTTATAACAGATATGATAGACGCAGCGCGGGTATTAAGTGCCTTACGTATAATTTATTATAATTAATGTTCGCTTGTTTGAACTAAATCAAAGTTCCACGACGCTTCGGGAAGCGAAGCTACAGCAGTGACGTCGCGGGATAAAGGCCTGCGAAATCGCAAAGAGATTTACAGCCCTTTCACGGAGCATACCGCAGCGCCGGTTTAAGTCCAAGAAGCTATCCACTTTACGGTAAACGTGTCTTGAATTACTATAATGCAGATACAACTCTAAATCGTTCTGAACGAGCGTTGCGCGCCCGACGAGAGAAAGAGAGACCACAATTACGTGAATGGCCGTCGTCGCGAGTCATTGGGATTGCCACAATGAATTAACGAGTCCCTTTCGGCCTCTGTCTCTACCTCCGCGGAGCGGAGTTAGGATAGGCTTTGGAGCAAGAGCGTTTGCCGCTTTAATAAGAGATCAAAGTGATTTCAACTCGCGGCAGAGGATCTGTGAATTACGGCGAGACGATTTTCAAGGAATATAACTGTGGATTTATATCGCAATTAATTTTTTTTTTGCAGAGAATTAAAACAACATTACACTCCTCTCTTTCCCGGGATAAAGAAATCTGTATCGTTTAAAGAAGACTTACGTATGTCTTTGAAAAATAGAAATTCGAGAAATACATATGTAATGCACCGAAGCAGTTTGTCCGCGACGCAACCGTGAAGCTCCGTGCATCGTTTCGACATCGACTTCTTTTGCGTAATTTAATCGCTCGCGCAAATCCGCGTTCGTGCACACGAACGATCATAAATCAGAATTACGTGAGTAACCACAATACGCGTGCCGAATACACAATCCCGGCATTGAGACGCGAGTTTCGCCTCTTGTGCTTTTCGGCGGGATAATAAAGCAAACGTCTCTAACGCGCCGCGATTCTTTAATATCAACTCATTTGTTCAGCATTCGTTTCGACTAACGAATTCATTCTACTTTATATATGCCTCGCATTTATTTCCTTTCATTAATGGAACGTCAACGCGGATTTATAGATAGTCGTAAAACGTATTTATATAGATAGCGAGACGGAATATAACGCGTGCGACATCTGACACGTACGAAAGTAATAATGCAATCTCACCTGGGACTCTCTTCTCGTGACCTCGGATAAATTTTGCTTGACCTGTGCCATCTCGTCGCGGAGGAGCTGCAGGGAATGGTCGTTTATCGATCTCTCCTGATCGGCCGTCTCCACGGCGGTCCTCATCTGCTCCTTCGCCATCGTCAACTTTCTGTTGTAACGCGTCCTCAGCATCTCGCTCTCGACGAGACGCTTCTGGAGCTCCTCTATCTTCCGGCTGCGTTCAAGCGCAGCTATCTGCTCGCGGAAAATGTCGTAAAATGGGTTAAAACGTCTGATCGATAGTCGCGTATTATGAAGGCTCTCTCGCGCGGTTTACGAAGGGAATTCGTTCAGGAATTTTGTTTTTCCCTGGCGTGCGTTCGCTTCTCGCAAACGTTCGCGAGCGTAAAATTGATTTAATCGAAGCTTTCTATAAAAGCCCGGAGTAGAAATTTTTTATCAATTAAATTAAAAGAATTAAATTAAATACTTCGTTCACTGGAAGGGGATAATATTTTACGGAACGATAAAGTCTATGAATGCATTAAGATTTAATGCAGCCAACGTATTGTTGTCGTTAACTGCGTGTATACAGCTGTGACGAAATAATTGCATTACGCTCCATGCATTATTCCTCGAAGCGGTTCGGATTTGTCTGATTGTGAGAAAGTATACGGACTCTTGAAATTATACGTGCCTTATAATCCGCGGCTTCCGTCAATTGTGCGCTCAACTCCCGATTCCGCGACTTTTCCTCCGACAATTGGACCTGAAGTCGCTCGACCTGTTTCACCAGCTTCTTCGCGCTGAAAGAAAGGAAGAAAACCCTTCGCTTGTATACCTTCTCTCATTTCTTTTTTTTTCTCCAATTCGGGCAATTAAGGGAAGCGATGCAGCCTAATAGCTGCCTAGCGTACGGCAATGAATGCAGAGAGATATACATTCAGCACATTTGGAATGAAACCGCGAATCGCTGTCCGAAATTACTGCAGGCAACCGCCGGTGATCGCCGCCGTAGAAAAATCATACCTCATCTCGGATGCGGCATGAAGCCGCACTCTCGGTCGATTAAATTTTCCAATAAACCGCAACTCTATATATATGTCTCCCATCGAACTAGTTGATAGGCATTGTTTTCCCACTAACGTTAAATGTTCAATAAATGTGTTCAATAAATGATAAAGATTGGATGGAAACGATTGTAACACGAAATGTAATTATCGCAACACGCAACACTAGCCTCTCGAGTGTCAAAATATAGATAGATATATATAATCTTCGCAAATATCATTTATGAAATACTAATAAATTTCTCGCGATAATTGTCCGCATATACAAAAGAAAAAGAGAGAAAAAGATACAGAAAGCGCAATTATATCCTGTACAAATAACAGTTTTTATAAATTATTCAATTTGCGAACAGCAAGTTGAAAGTTTAATGTTTTGTTGCAACCAAGCTGTGCTCTAAAACAAACCGTATATTCGCCTCGTCACGCTCGCTCTGCAACAACGACTTCATCCTCACACTGTCCTCCTGTAGAGATAGCTTCCTACGTAGAAGATCCAAGTGCAGGTCCCTGCGCTGCAATTGCTCCCGCAGGGTTCGCACGCGACGTTGCAACTGATAAACCACGGAGGTCTGCGAAACAAAGAAAAAAAAAGTCACATTTATCGAGTCCTTCTTGGCGGCAAAGACGTTTCCCAGATGTGACGTAACGTGCAAATCGAGGTGCAAATACGCATCATTAACAATTAAAACATAAAATATCAACTAGTTCCTCGTGCACAATTGTTAATTTGAGTTTGCACATAATGGTAGCACATAAGTGAAGAATGAGACGAGTGAAATAAAATAATAGTGATTTCTTCGTGATTTTTTTCTATTGTACATGTCACGTTAAATATGCAATGTATATAAAGGAACGAATTTACTTTTCACGAAATGAGGGATTGTCCTACCAAAGGAAAAGTCTGTTTTTGCGCTGACATGTTATCGGAGATTATTTAATTAAAAGTTACGCCGAGCGGTTTTATGTTGAGAGGAGCGAATATCCGCAATATCGACGCGTCAGCCTCGTAGATGCTATATTAAATGGAACTTCATTACACGATATTTTCGATAAACTGTCAATTTGAAGCAACAATTACGTCGCAAGCGAAGCTCGACCAGCGTCCGACTCGGCCGCAAAGTATATCGGAAAACCACCGGGGAGTGGAAGGAGGGGGTGGAATGATGGAATGAAAAGCGCCTCTTTATCTACGTTAAGGATGCTCTCCACGATGGTGGAACGAAATGAATGTCTACGAAGAGGATGCCTGAGAATTCCGTGAAGTTTCTCTCTAAGGCGCTTTGCGCGCGCCGGGGGGCTTACTTCTTTGAGACAGGAAAGCTCGTGGAACGATCGCTCGCGCCGAATCCTCGGTAGAGTCGTGTAGCTGGAGTACAAATACTGCGACGTGCGGTAAGCACACACGATTTGCACGACAAAGAAACACAGAACAAAGGGAAGAAACATTAGCAACGTGACAGCGCATCGAAGAGGCGTAATATCGATCGTGCCCTTCACCTTGTCGACTAGTTTATCCGTCTCCAATCTGGCTAGCTGCTCGGCCCGCACCAACAGCGACTCCGTCTGAAGATCGAGCCCGATCTCCTGAGAGATCTCGTCCATTTGCATCGCCTTACCCAATCGATCCAGGAAGGTCATGAACTGAAAAAGTTTATAATAAGATCAGCTTTAAAATCGGTGTTTCATGGGGGTGGGGAAAGCAATAAGTACACACGCCGTCATTTAGAAAAATAAATATCCCTTAGTAATTCGAAATTTATAACACGTAGAACTTCAAATTAGAAATTTCTGAAAAATATTGTTTCAATTTTTTACAAACTGCTTCCTTAGAAATTCAATATTTTTTATTTAATTTGAAGAGATGCAGGATAGTTAATTGTATTATGTCTTTAGCTCCTCGTTCTCTACGCTATGTGTCAAGATTGCTTTAACATTTTCAAGAGATAGAAGCGTTTGAAATTACCGTCTGCTTGTCTCTGCGTAAAGACTCTCTGGAGAGATCGCTGCTCGTGAGTTCGGATTCGAGTTTGTGTATTTTAACCTCCAGAGCGGCGCGCTCGTCCTCCAAACTGCGTACCTTCATCATCGTGGATTCGACCAACTCGCTCTGCCGATTCGTCGACTCAGTCGCCGTGTTCACTTTTTCCCGAAGACTTTGTATTTTCTAGAAAGAGAAAAGAACGTAGCGTTATAAATTTCGCGATATTGTATGAATTACAGTATATTAAAATTGAAAATTTTTAAGCGAAATTTCTCAGAATTCTAATATAATTTTTGTTCTATAAATAAAAAATTATAGCGTCCGTTAAATGACAGAAAATATATAAAAAATGGTATTTATATTTTTACAATTTTGATTTTTCACAAGCAAAAGTACAGAGTTGCACGCGTGCGATTTTTAATACCAGTGACTGATCCTTATTGTCCGCCAGAATTTCTCGAATACGATCTTTGATCGCGTTCTCGTGGGACTCGACGAATCGGTTCGGTGTACTGATAAGGATCGCAACCGATTCTAGCAGGTGACGGAATTCATTTTGCACGCGTTGCGTCTTCTCCTCACGAGCTTTCAGATCCTCTGCAAGAGCGACAGAGATTATTAGAAGACATAAGGTCGTATCGACACGGTGATTTACCTCGTAATTGGCAGATCAGCGCCTCCTGATTGGATATGTTCCCCGTCGCGCTGGTTAAGCTCCTATTCGCGTTGACAAGTTTATCTCTCAGATCGTTCATGTCCTTCTCGGCGACCCTGGATTGCATTTCCAGGCATTCCTTTTCCTGGAATAATGGAAAACAATTAATGATGCTGCACTTGATAAAACTCTATGGATTTTGACTGCTCGAAATAATTAAAATAATAATTACATCCACATTCTCTGCATGGTTGTAGCGTTTACATAATTAAATTTTCAAATATAACGTTCTTTCGAAATCAATTATAAACAAAATCTCAACCGTCATACCTGACGCAAACGATCTATGTCGACTAGCTGAACGGACACTTGTCTCTGTAATTGCTCCTTTTCCGTAGTGGAGCGATCAAGAGCGTCCCTGCAGGTTCGAAAATCCACCTCGACGCCCGTCAATTGAGTTTCGACATTTGTGCTCTTTGTTCGCAAACGGTTCACTTCTTGCACGAGCTCCTCGGCCTTGTGAATCACCATCTCCGTACTGTGATACGCCGTCTCGCAGTACTCGACGTTCAATGCATGCGCCAACCTTCGCACGAAATCCTATGAAAACAGATGTAGGATATCGAAATGGCGGTTTGAATACAGAGAGAACGGGAAAATTGATACGATTTTTCGACGAGGAATAAAACGGAGGTGTCGAGACAGCGCGATCGAGAGCGCGCGTGTTGAAACATACGGCACCTGCAGATTCAGACGTGCCCGTTCCTTCAATTGAATCTCCTCGGATATATTGTGCTCCAATTGTCGAATCTTCTTATCGTACTCTCTGACCTTTTCCTCGTGATACTTTACGTCACGCTGCAGACCCTGTATCGTGATCTCATTTCTGCCCTGGGACGCATAGAGATTTCTCTCCCTCTCCTCCAATTCCTGAAATCGTTATTGAATTCTACAAGATATATACTGTCTGCCATCCGTCGTGCAAATTCCGCGAATCTCGATCTTTTCAACGAGGGCCGAGCGAGATGAAAGTAAATTCTTTTTTTCTCTCTCTCTCTCTCTCTCTCTCTCTCTCTCTCTCTCTCTTTCTCGGCGCTCATTAACGGAGGAGCCCTTTAATCGTCCGCTTGTTAGGAAAGCAAATTAACCTGAATGCGCTTCTTGAGACTGGAGATGACGGCATTCTGCCTGGCTGCTTGCTCGCGAAGCTGATCCGCCTCTACCTGTAGCTCCACGACCCTCTGGTCCCGCGATCTCACGGCGCTTTTCATTTCCTGCAGCTAAATGCAGACCGAATTGATTACTAACGCGACTGATTATCGAAGCGGTGAAACGATAATCGGTTTACCTCAGACATAAGCCTGTCCCGTTTGTATTCGAGTGCCGCCAGCTCGCTTCTCAAAGTGGTCGTTAGATCGTGAGTCATAGCGTCGTCTGGATCCTGAAACCAGATATTCGATTTCCTTATTCCTTATCAAAGATACGAAATGTGAACGTTTTACATATATTTTATATTTTATTATCATACTTTCTAATAAAACATGAATGATTTTTACAGAATTAGATATTAAATACTAATTTTAATTATCCAAAAATTGGAAACATTACGATACTCATTGATTTATATTTGCGTTTGCGTCTAAATCTAATATTAAACGATTGAGTAATCGTGCAAAAATGTAAGTCGGCCAATAGACGTATTTATTGTGTGCATTGCGTTTTCATTACTTTTATGAATTTCCTGGTACAGTTACACTTTATACAACTTGGAATAATAATTGTTGTATAAATTATCGTATGCCGCGTGCGATATACACTGCGGGCTCGTTGAGTTTTGCCACAGGCGAGGGAATCTCGTCGTAAAGTGAGTCATTTTATTTCCCGAAGCTTCGTACGCGAGACGGAGGGCTTTAATGCCGAAGCGCTCGTTTAAGCTGGGAATAGATTAGCAGCGGCCTCGGCGCGTTGCGGCTTCTGAAGTTCTGACCTTTCTCTTGCTGGGAGAGAATGCAGGATTCGCAAGTACCGCAGGTACCGACGTCTCTAACGGCGGCTCGTAATGGCACCCATTTGAGCTTCCACGCGTGTACGACGGAAACTTTACAAGACGACTCGATATGCTCCGCGGCCATTATGTACGTACGTCTGCCTGCCTGCAGAATTGCCTGGAGAATATTGGCCGCAATATGGATAAGTTAGCGGCTATTTTTAGAACGATATTTCGAATCTCATCTATTTTAAAATGCTTGGGAATCGAATTGGAAAACTTTTATGCTCTCTCTGGTTACTTTGAGACGTATGATTTATTCTGACAATAAATTCTTCAACTGATACGAGTAATATCCTTGGTAAGTAATATTCAAGGTAGCTTTGGCACTTAATTTTTTAATATAAAAAACCGATTATTATTATCTATATTGTCTTAAAAAAGATTATGTTAACGTTAAAAAAAAAGAACTTCTCTAAGCACAGATAAGGATCTTATTTATTTATATTTTTTTCAAGCGTAATAATAAAATGTTCTAAGATAAAATTGCAATAAATTAAATTATTAAATTGCCTTTACAAAGCAATTCGATCGCAATTGATAGTTTAACATGATGCGAAAACATTTTCTAGAGCAATTTGCAATTTGAGAAAATCGAGGATATTTTATGCAAAACATTGCGTTATATTGTATTTAATATTTTTTGATTGAACCTAGCATTTCCACACCTCAAATCTGAGTAAACTATTTTTTTTTTACTCTCACAATCAGTAGTCTCAGAAATTGGCCCCGAATTTGTACTTTTTGGCACAAATCACATTTTAATTTTCGCTCCAAGAACGCTCAGAACGCAGTACAATAATTAAATTATCATTAAGCCAAGTTAGTAGAACGCGCGTGTTATTCAAAATGAGACAAATGCGTCAAATTATAATTATTAAGAGCACAACGATACAGTTAAATATTTATGTCGTCGATTTCGGCGCCAATTATCGCCGCTTTAATTAAATATTTCATGGCGGTAACTGATCGCGCGGAGCCGCTCGCTTTTATCTCGTTTTGATACTGATTTACATTCGACGCGTTTAATTACTTTTTAACAAATCCGTTGCGGGGTCCACAACGGAATTAAATATATCCCCGTCGAATTGCTCTGGCGATGTGAAATTAAATCCAAGTATAACAAGCCCAAACGGAAATTCGTTTCATTAATTACGATCATAAGCGGATTTAAGACTTAACGTGCAAAAAGGTCTTTTTACATTCGCTCTTTTTTTCATCTGTCTCTCTCGAGCCTTATCTGCGAGTTTTGCAAACGAGAGCGTACTGTATAATATAACTTTGTGATAACTATCTCTCATCCTGTCCTGCAAACCATAAATGTAAACTAAAGTCGGAAACAGGATCTTCATCATGAAAATAAATACAGCGCGAAGTTTTGTAAATGGAAGCATCTTTATGCATACGGAATTTACTAATTACGCATTCATACCGCTCTATTATTAGTATATCTAATACTCAAAGCCGATTGAATTACGTGTACAAACTGCACAATAATTTGAATCTTACATGCTCTTTTCTCGCAGTGAATTAAAAAATAAATTAGAAGGTGAATTAATTTAATAATATATTATAATTAATATAATATATTTAATGTTATTTAATAATATAATATTACACATTATTATACTATTATATTATAATAACGTTATTGCTGTTATAAACACGTTAGTGTTAAATAACTTTGAGTGTTAAATAACTTGGTGGAGAAGTGGATTAACCAAATCAAAAGTGTATTATATTTCTATATAAAGCATAGTGTCGCCGATTATTCTCATCGTCAAAATCGATCTCGTCGACGCAAGCTCGCCCGACGTAGGAGGACTTGCTCGAAAACATGATCACTCTACCTCGTCTTGCCCGCCGGATCCATATCGCAGGATTCGCAGGTTTCCGCAGAAATTTCCGCTACACGATCGTGCGCGACAGCGCTTCCCCGAAGCGCCCCGTGTGCTCTTCGGTCCGGATAGTACTCAACGGAATTCGCACTCGAAGTCCGGTAGTCGCCGAATAGTCGCGGATAGCGTTTCCGGCTGCGCGAAGAGAAGAGCGAAGAGAGAGAAAGAGAAAGAGAAATAGAACAAGGGCGCGAGTCGAAGGTAGTTGCTATCGTCGCCAATTTCCAGGACAATCGGATGCGCGCGGCACAGACAGTTACGATGCCGAAGTTTCGTCTGCCTACGACAGCGGATTACGTGACCCGAATTCGTGCCGCGCGCGGTCGCCGTCGCCGCCGCCGCCGCCGCTGCCGCCATCGCCGCCGCTACCAACCTCGGGTGCCGACCGACCTCGCGATCCTCGTCCCTCACGAGGGGGGAAGGGGGGGGGCCTCGTCTATATAGATATTTGTATCTGCACGCGAAAATCTACGCTCGCAAAATCTACGTCAACGGGCTGCCAGGGCGAGAATGTTACCGTAAACCCCGAACACGAGCACAATGGAACACGCTGCCCGAATTTACCGGGTCAGCGTTTCCACAATGATACTTCTCGATGGTATCGCGCTGCGTTGGTTCCACATTGCGGACCTGAATGCCTACTTCGACTAATACGGAGTATGAGCACAAAGACATATATGCAATAGAAATAAGTAGAACGGACGAGGTGCTCGTCCATTTTATTTTTAACGAATCCTCAGCTGATTAGAAAAAGCTTTCAGCATTGCACTTGCATATCGCGATACGCCGAAAGGAAAAGAAATCTCCCTCTCGCGCAAACATTGCATTCGCTCGGGTGGAATGAATTAACGTCTGTCGCGCGGTCAGACGCGTATGCAGGATATTTAATTCAATGCGCCATATCTTCCTGGGAATCAGATTGTAATCGGGATCCGCGATCCTACCATGCGCCGCAGCAATTATCTCGCGATTCAATTACGCGACAGGTCGCCGACCGGGGCCGGGAGGCGTCGAATGCGCGAATGGGATCGTTATCGTTATCTCTGCATGACCCGAAAATAGTTTCGATGCGCGCGGGGCACGAGAGGGGTGATACGGTTTTGACGAGGGAGGACGAGCCGCATATTCCCAACGTCCTGCGGAATACCGTGAATTTCCACGGTGGTTAAGTCCGACGATATTGAATACCCATTATACCGCCGTCCATAAATATCCCGACGGGGGTCTCGGAACCCGTGCGCGGGAAACGACCGCACGGCGAACGCGACCTATTTACCGCCGGTATTTACCTCAAAGCGCGCGCGCGCGCACGGGATTACAGCGAGATCCCGGCGCGCGTGGTACACTGTGCACGTACTCGTGTAAAAAAAGAAATTTTTGTAAATTTGCCCACTAGGGAAACGGTTTTTCTGCAGCAGCGCGTCGTTTCACAGGTAACGCGCGAAACTCGTGATTTCACATACGCGACCGTGATAACGCCGCAATAAAATCGCAATGAGAATACGTGAGCGCGTTGAGAAATAGAATACCGTTAAAATAATTTTGATCTTCTCCGCTAAAAGCTGACGTGTGTCCCGGCGCGTGTCTCGTAGCGTCTGGACTCCATTGAAAGGCGAGAGAGTCGGTGAAAATAAAAAAATGTACGTGCGAGTAGTGTTCTTTTTTTTATAATATTCACGTAAGTGGATACGTAAATTGGTTCTACGGCGAAATTTAAGAATACGATGAATAAAATGGTATCAGTATTTGCACATTAACGAGGGTGATAATATTTCGTTTAAAAAAATGCGCAAATTAATGTAGCAACATAATTTTCGCGAATTTAAATCCAAGGATTTTTCTAGTGGTTAAAATACAATATTACATTTTTGAAAATTGCGGTCGGATGGCGCGTCTGTTTTTGGCGCAATATATCAATCTGTTCGATCACCACGATATTGCAATAGCGATGATACATTAATATCTATACATGTCGGGGACGATTATCGAATTTTACTCTATGCCGTGCACGCGCAAGCAGAATTTGCAGCATGAACGACGCGCGATTACGGTTACCCGTTTTTTGTATCTCGCCGATGAATGTTCATTTGTATTTTTCTTTTTTTACAAGGATAAGTGAGCTCCCCTTCCTGAAGTTTCATATGGAGATACCCCGCGTTGCGCGCGTTACATAAACAGAGTAAAATCCCCTGGATAGTAATAGGATTACAACGAAATGCGAAAACATGGAGTATTTCATAATTGCATTAAAAAATTTAATTATATTATTTAATTATTTAGGTGCGCTTCCACATTTTTCTCGTGTGCAACTCCATACTTTAAACATTATGGCGCATAACACGTCAGATATTCGAGAGAGAAGGGGATTTAAATTTATTACGGAAACTGATACTAGTAAGCCAGAATATACGTAATTAAAGCTACAGTATCGGTACGTTAATATAGTAGAATGTATTGCATTGATCCATTCTTTCATCATAATTGTAGAAGGAAAAT